CCCCAAAACCCCAAAACCCCAAAACCCCAAAACCCCAAAACCCCAAAACCCCTAAAAATTTTCAATAAATTGATAAAAATTATATACAGTAATCACTTCTAAGATGAACATTAACAGCGCTACGACTGAAACAGACCTAGTCCTTACTTGCTACATTTGTGACGACCAATACACTGGAGATCGTATTGAATCACATGTCAGAGATTGAGAGAAGGATTGGAATTATGAAGAATTAGAGAAACCAGTTAATGAAAGAATTCCTCTTCCAAAGCCTACAAAAGAATTCTTGACAGACTTTCAAAGAGCTACAGATCTTCATCACTCAAAATTAAGTGTTATTGGAGGATTAAATGATAAAACCTTTACAGTAACTCCAAGTTCTAGCCGTAATACGGATAAAAATAATAATCATCTCGAGGTTCTAAGTTCACCTCTTAGACTATCCCATGATAACTCTGATGGAAATATTGAATCTTCTCTTGCTGCTTGTCCAATCTGCTCAAGGACATTTTTCCCTGAAAGGCTTGGTATTCATCTAAAATCCTGCAAGAAAGTAAGCAAAATGAGAAAAGTAGATTAAATATTTTTATTTTCTGAAATCTCACAATCTGTCCATATTCAGCAGATTTTCCCATAAAACTGTATAAACATATCTGAAATCCAAAGAAATCTTGCTAAAGTATCATATTTAGGTACCTAGTTCAGTTAAAACCAAAAACCTCTGGAATAAAATCAGTGAAAAGTCGAAACAGTGGCTTAAAAATAAGGTAAGACGAGGAAATATAGCGAAAATAATATTTTTAAAATTAGCAATCTGAGCTAGCATTAATTGTGTTATTAAGGGAATTAAGATTGTCTTCATCAGAATTTTAGTAGCTTAACAAACAGTTATCTTCCAGATAAGAGATATGTTTAAAGGTGTGGGCTAAAATTAAAAGTCTGCTTTCTGTATCTCTTGAGTTGAGCTATCTTAGAGTGTCAATTTATACTGTCACAGCTATATTAACAACGTTTTAGCCTGGCAAAAATAACGGTATAAAAATCAAGATACATTCTTCAATCAGAAATCGAAAGAAACGAAAGGTTGTCAAGAAGCCAACCACGGATGAGAAGTTTAAGCTCAGCGGAGTAAAGATTAGTGGGAAAGCAAGTCATAAATCTTCATCGAAGTCGTTTTCAAAAAGTGCTTTGGAGAGGCCCAAACCTTACCCAGATGCGCATATAAGCACTCCTTCTGCTTTATCTAAGACAGACGAGGACTCTAAGCAACAAGTTGCAGAATTTCAGGAGATATACGGCTCTCCAGAACAGGAGGACAATCGTGTCGCCTGCAGCACTTGTGGTAGGAAATTCAATCTAGATCGATTGCCAATACATCTCAAATCATGCAGCAATATGAAAAAGAGAGCTGTGTTTAATAGTCAGAAAAAGAGAGTAGTCGATGGCTCAATGGGAATTCCGACAATGAAGAAGAAAGCCACACCAAAAAATAAAGTAAACAAGGGAAACCTTACAGAGAAGAAAGCAAAATGGAAGAGAGATCACGAAGATTTAGTCAACGCTATTAAAATGTCCAGGATGATCAAGAAGGTACAGGAGGAGGGAGGTGATATCACTAAAATTCCTGTTGCTCCTCCTTCACAAAATGATGATTATGTTGAATGAAGATATTGATATAGAAGGTATGCTCCTGCAGTAGCAGAGAGACATATCCCCAAATGTAAGGATATGATCAATAGACCAAAACCACCTCCACATATACTCAAGCGATTGAAAGAGGAGGAAGGAATGAGGAAAAGGAAGCTCAGAATAAGAAAACTTCGTACTAATAACCATCATAAAGATAAAAAGAATATGACAGCTAGCAATTTTAGCAAAGAACTTAAACCAGAGGCTAGATCAACAATCTTAAATACTCATTACCCTTTCAAACCAACTCTGAAAAAGATCAAGGAAGTGAATGAAGACAATGGTAAGATTTCCTGATGAAAACTGCTAATTAATTTTCTATCTAGAAGATCATCAAGAAGTATCACATAAGAAACCACCATTGCATTTAGATTTCCATCCTAAAAGAGGGAAACACTTTGCTAAAGCAATGAACTCGAATGGGTTTTCGAGATCAGGGATAAATAACAGCACTTCATATCAAACAAACTTTAATGATGTTGCACTGTCAACTTCGTCATCAAGAAATTTTGTCCAGAGTCCTCATCGTTCATCCCTTGAGAGCAGAAATACTGCTAAGAGAGCAAATAGCTTAATTGCTAGAAGTGCAACTTATTCCAGCATCCCATGTCCGCATTGAGATAGGAAATTCTCAACTGCAGCTGCTGAGAGACATATCCCTATATGTAACTCAATTATAGCGAAGCCTATTGGGCTGAGGAAAGCTCTGAGCAAGAGATCAAGTGTGGAGTTGCCTCATCTGTCTCAAGCCAGCTATAAGAACGGTGGGTTTGATAAGAGCCTTATTATTCAAACTTCATCAACTTTTAGGTCAAACAAAGGAAGATTACACCACTCCCAAATTGTTGGCTTGCCGCCTACACATAACGGATGTTCCAACAGCGCAGGACTAGGCCGCACTAAATCCATTTTCCACTCCAAAAGAGTCTTCTGCACATGCTGTGGTATGAAACTCAGATCAAGGGATAAATTCTGCTCCTCATGTGGAGAGAAAAGGACCAATCAATAAAACAACTCCTCATTCCACCTCTAACTGTGTCTAAACTACCTGTGAGTACTCGAAGCTCACTTCTCTAATTTTAAATACGCCTAAAGCCCCTTTCTGCAGGTTTGAGATCCTCTTTTTGGTTCAATTTTAAAAGGAAAATAGGGGTTTTGGGGTTTTGGGGTTTTGGGGTTTTGGGG